CCAGTGTTTTGCTCTCACAAATGCATCTGCAGTGAGCGTTTGTGTTTTCATGCATTGCACATTTTGAAGGTATTTTCCTCCTGCTAAGGGAGGCAGCCCCCAGCATGAATGTGCCTGTGAAGGGCGGGAGGTCCAAGGCCGCCTCCCCGACCCCGGGCCAAGCTCCCTTCAGGCCTTCGGGGCACAGGACAGGGAGAGAGGGAGTTGGGATGGTCCTAATCTACAGCCTTCCTTGTGGGTGGGAGAAGGCTGAGTGTCCTGCGGGGGGTCCCCCACAGATTCTCGGCCCAGGGCCCCAGGGATGATGCCATGCCTCGGCTTCTGTTCTGTGGCCCTGCTGTGGTTTATGTCGGCACAAGAGTTAGATCTGCAGATCCACCAGGGGCTCCACGCAGTGTGCAGTGGCAGGGGGATGGCAGAGAGGAAAAACGCCCGCCCGTGCTCTCGGGAAAAATCACCGAGAGAAAAGCTACCTCTAGCTGCCTGTTTCTTGTCTGCCAGACACAGGACACCCACCACAGGCAACTCAGCCCTGGCACAGCCCTGCAGTTTACAGATGATGAAATTGGGAGACCATCTGGGGAGGTGAGTTAGGTTCACAGGAAACTTTGAAGAAATGAAAGGTAATTTGTGCAGCGACGCACTCTCCTGGGTATAATAAAAGCAGCCGTGGTCACCGTCACAGTCAAGGCGCCAGGGATTTGTGGGCCGAGTGGCACTTACAGCATTCGTCTACGGCTTCTGCAGGGGGCCCTGAGTGGCTCCCTCTGCCCTCCCATCTCCGCCCTGCACAATGTGGTGGTGAATTTCCTGCCCCACCCCTCCCTGAAGCTGGGACGTTGGTGACTGAGCTTGTGAGGCTCCAGGGTACCTAGGATGGGCCACTCGGAGAGACGGGCAGCTCTCCTCTGCCAGGCAGGAGGCTTTCAGTGCTCTGTGCGGTGCCGCCGCCGTGTCCACACCCACTGCTGCCCGAATCGAGGGCTCCCTTTGGTGGCTCTTTCTGGCCTCACCTTTCCGCCCTGAACCAGCCCTGGGCAGGGGAAGGCTGCAGAAAGACACGCTCTCCAGCGGGTGGGCAGTGTGAGCTCGATCTCAGGGCCGCGCTGTCTTTCTCTGTTATCCCAGAGGGCCTGGCAGGTGGACACGGCCCAGGTGCTCAATGAGCTTTGTTCAATAATAAGCTGCTCAACAGGGCAAATATTCAGATACACGCACGACCACTGCATAAAACTGTGTGCGAATATGGATAAAACCTTGAAGGAGAAACGATACTGGGGTCACAGCGGGGGACATGAGGGCACAGGTTTGCCTTTTTAATGTTTTTCATTATGTAGAGTGCTTCAATCTAACGTTTCACAGATGGAGCAGCTCTTAGTCTGTCAATGGAATCCATTTCAAGAGCAGTGTGAGGCTTTTGCTGCATTCTCTGCTGGGTCTCCAGTGATGGCCCCTTGGGTCAGATGCAGGACACCCCACAGCTCCAGGCTGTCTGTGCTCCCTCGGAGGCTCTGCTTTGGGAGCTGCACTGTCAGAATAGGGCCTTGACAGTAAATTCCCATCCTAAATCATGTTGACCAGGCACCCCTCTCCTTTTAAACTTCGGGCAAAGATTTGAAGCCTAGTTAATTGCTTACTTCAGGGGTGTCCCCTAAAAGCAACTGAATGTTTGGCAAATTAGGGTAAAAGATAAGTTAACTTTATTATGACAAAAAATGGTCATTTTGATAGAATGGATTTTATAATTAGCATCGAGGCATTACACAAATCCATTCAACAGGTGAATGCATTTAAATACATGGAGTTCTATTTTACTATTAGCTCAGATTGACATTGTAATTAATCAAATAAAATCCCATATAAACTCAATTAAGGTTTGGTATTAGTGAGGATAGCTAGGCTTGGGCTATGCCAATGATTCCCAAATTTTATTGGCTTTATAAACACAGCAGAAGTTTATATGTCACTTACACAAAGACACTGGCAGACCCAGCTGCCCTCAAGGGGACGTCTGCAGACCCAGCCACCTTCCAGGACAGCTCTCGTCTGTGACACTTGCAGACCCAGCCCGGCCACTCTCCAGGACGGCAGCTGTCTGCTTGGTGACTCGGCGGTCTAGGCTGCTTCTTTCCTCTCTGTGCATTTCAAGAAGACGAGAACGAGACCATGATGCTCCATTTCCAATCCGGACGACCACTGCTTAATGTGGGATATTGCTTTATTTTATAAGTTCAAAAGGCCATCCTAGCAGCATGGAGCACCTCCCAGGTGCTAAACTCTGTGTCATGGTCAAATGTGCCCATGTCAATGAACTCTAACAGCATCAAACTCTACCTTCTGCCTCCCCTGAATCCAGCGTTCTTTGGATCCAGTTCTGCATTTACCCCTGGATCATGCTGGTGCATACCTTTTGGTTCTGAAGCTCCTTGGCTGAGTGTCTCTTCCTCCATTTTCAGCCACAGCACTTCTCCAGCTTGGTGATGCTGACCTGGGGGAATGGAGCTGGAGGTGGTAGCAGGCATGTCTGTACCATCTTGCAGAGGTCTCTGCAGCGTCTTCAAGCACACAAACAGCATTTTCCCTTAAGAGGAGAAATGTGACACCTCTTCAGCCCAGCAGATTTACCGGAATCTGGGATTCAAGATTTTTGAGTGCATTCATTCAGATGGCCCCATCCCAAGTCTCAGGGCCTCCCTTCTTCCCAGCCAGGGTCCAGACCTTGGAACAGCACCTTCCGAGTCGGAGCACCTGGCCCTGGAACAGCGCCTTCCCAGTCCGAGCACCCGGCCCTGGAACAGCGCCTTCCCAGTCCGAGCACCCGGCCCTGGAACAGCGCCTTCTGAAACTGAGTACACAGCTCCGGAACAGCACCTTCTGAGGCCGAGCACCTGGCATTCTCTGAAGCTCTGTCTTCAGTTAAATCCTAGCTCTGATCGGTTTTTTGGTTCTCCTCTGGCCACAGGAGATGAGTGTCTTACGTGATGAATGTCTTACACGGGAGATGAGTGTCTTACGTGCCACCGACGAGGCTGGTTAATGTGCCACCCTTTTGTTTCAGGTGGTGATCTTCTCATTATCTTGCCCTCAGCAGGAGCCACCTGATTCCATAGTCCATGGGTCTGCGACTTTCCCAAACTCTCCAGCACCCGAGATGCTGCAGCTGCCAGTGCATTTCCTTCCAAGGGGCTCCTGTCCCGGCTGCCACCGCTGCAGCCTGGAGATTCACTGCTGACCCCAGCTGGCCCCTGGAAACAGACACCGAAGTGGAGATGTGGGTTGAGCTTATCCGCAGGCCTGTGAGGGTGGAGGGGTGACAGAGAAGCAGCTCTGTGGCTGGGCTGCCACAGAGGACTCTGCTGAACTCTGCGTAACACAGGAGCTGGGTTGCTTCCAGAGTGGCCCAAGGGGAAGCATGGTCTCTGTCGTAAAGTAGGGTTGTGGATGGCACCCAGAGCACCCACTGCAGATGCCACCCAGGGCCAGTGCTAGACATGGAGGCTCAGGGTTGGAACCAGGGGTGTCACCTTAACTCCTGTTCAGCCCTGGCGAGCACCAGGCATGCAGGGGCTGAGGACAGGAGAGGCCTATGTGGCTGCAGGCTCCCAGCAGTCAGGGGAAGAAAGGCCATTAATTATTTCAGCACATGGAACCACTTTTTAGAAAGTGAAGAGAAAGCAGTGGGAAAAAATAGGCCACTATCTTCATGAAGCTCCTGTTCCTCTCTACGCAGTATGTGTATGTGTGTGTATGTGGATTCATGTAGGTGTGTGTATGTGTGTGTGTACGTGTATGTGTGTGTATGCGTGTTTGTGTAGTATGTGTGTGGTATGTCTGTGTGGTGTGTGTATGTATATTTGTATGTGTGATGTATGTATGTGTGCATGTATTGTGATGTATGTATGTGTGTGTGTGTTGTGTGGTGTATGTATGTATATCTGTGTGTATATGTGTGGTGTGTGTATGTGTGGTCTATGTATATGTGGTGTGAGTATGTATGTGTGTTCATGTATATGTGTATGTATGTGTATATGTAGCATATATGTGGTGGATGTATGTGTGTGTGTGGTATATGTATGTGTGTGTGAATGTATGTGTAGTGTGTGTATGTATGTGTGTATGTATGTATGTATATATGTATAGGGCATATGTGTGGTACTGGGTGCAATGAAGGTTTGTGAGGTAGAGGAAGGAGTGCAGAGTCTCAGTCTGTACACACACCTAAAAGAGCACACATGTACAAACACATTCCTCAGAGAGGTCAGGGAGGAGGAGACATCAAGACCGAAGAAAGGGAGGGTAGGGCAGCACCTGCCCATGCTGGGGTCTGCAGGGGGTTGGGGGAACCTGCCCATGCTGGGGTCCGCAGGGGTGCTGGGGGGGACTTTGCCCACGCTGGGGTCCGCAGGGGAGCTTGGGGAGGGACTTGCCCAAGCCGGGCTCCGCAGGAGTGCTAGGGGGGACTTGCCCACGCTGGGGTCTGCAGGGGGGCTGGGGGGTCACCTGACCATGCCGGCTTCTGTGAGGGGTGGCTGTGTGTGTTTCCCCGCCCCCACCGTGGGTCTGCAGCAGGTGCCTTCGGGTCGCGTCCCCGGAGTTGAGGCTGGGCGGGGGATTCCTCTCCTGCCAGGTCCTCATGCGTGAACTTTTCTTTGCCAAGTTCGTCTGCGAGTGAATCGCTCAGCCTCGGTCAGCGGGCCGGGCAGGGCCGGGACCTCCCTTCGTCTCCTCCGCCAGGAGCCCGCGGGGGTCCCCTCCGCTCAGCGGCCCCTCCACGGGGCGGGGGCGGGGCCGAGGCCTCTGGGAAGCCGCTCCCTGCGCCCCCCCGGTCCCCTCCGCCGCCCGCCCGCCCCGCCCCGCCCCGCCCTACCGGGCTCGAGCCAGTGGGGAGCGGGGCCGGGCCGCGGGCGGAGCCTCCTGGTCCCCGCCCTCGCCCTCGGCCAACGGGCGGCCGTGCGGGCGGGCGGACCCTCGGCCGCGCTCGGGGCTCCGGCGCCGCTCCTGCTGCTCGGCCCGCGCTGCCCGGCTCGGCGCGCGCTTCGGGGCGAGGCTCGGCGGGCGCGGCGCGCAGCATGGCGGTGGAGGACGAGGGGCTCCGGGTCTTCCAGAGCGTGAAGATCAAGATCGGTGAGTGTCCGCCGGCAGCGCCGCCCCCGACCTCGTCCCCTCCCCGGATCTTTCCCGCGGACCCCGGCGGAGACGCCCTCCAGGCGCGGCGCGTTCCCCGCAGACCCGCAGGTCCGGCCTCTCCCGGGCTCCCCGCGTCCACCGGGCTCGGGCTGGGTCGAGCGGCCCCGGGGGACGCGGTTCCCTGCGCCCAGAGCGGCCCGGGTCCCTCCCTGGCAGCGGCGGAGGAGGCGGGGTCCCCGCCGGAGGGGGCGTCTGTCCGCGTGTTTGCGGGGGCGCGCGCCGGGGGCTGCCGGGCGCCGGCACTTCAGGTGTCAGCTCCGCTGGCGTCCGGGGCTGCCTTTCCCGCTGCGCCCAGAAACTTCCTTTCGGGGAATGTGGAGGCTCCTTCACGCCTCTCCCCAGGGGTGGGCTTGGGCGCGCTGCTGCTGCTGCTGTGCGCGCGACTGTGCCTGTGTGCGCGCGTGTGTTTGTGGGTGCGTGTGTGTGCACGTGCGTGTATTTGTGTGCGCACGTGTGTGTGTGTGCATGTGTTCGTGTGTGTGTCCGTGTGTGTGTGCATGTGTTTGTGGGTGTGTGTGCGTTTGTGGGTGTGTGTACATGTGCGTGTGCATGTGTTTGTGTGTGTGCATGTGTGTGTACATGTGTTTGTGTGTGCATGTTTGTGGGGGTGTGTGCGTGTGTGTACATGTTTGTGTGTGTGTGCGCATTGTGTTTGTGGGGGTGTGTGCATGTGTGTGTGGGCCTGTGTGTGTACATGTGTTTGTGGGTGTGTGTGTGTACACGTGCGCGCTCCTGTGTGCTGGTGGGGCGCCCTGGCTGAGGGGTCTCGCGGGGCGGGGAGACACCGGGCCCACCCGCACCGGCCCCTTCCACTGAGAACTGTCGGGCGAGCTGGTGGCCGCCAGGGCCTCCGAGGCTGCGGTTTTTCTCTGGGCTTCAGCAGCTTCTGAAGTGGGCTCTGGGAGGCGTTTCCGGAGAGGGGGCTGTGCCTGGACTTCTGTTTTATCTGGAGGGATCTGCCTTCCCTGGTGGTTTTATATCGGGAGAGTGATGTGGAACTCCTCCTCCGCCCCCAGAGCAAGACCGTTTCCTGCAGTGACGGATCCGTTTTCACGCCATGAATGTGCTGGACCGCGGGCCGTTCAGGCTGGAGAGGCTGCCAGGGCCGAGCGCCGGGTCCTCACGGTCCTTCCCGCACCGAGCCGGCCTCTTCCGTGCGAGCAGGCCTGGGGACAGGCCGAGTGTCAGTTGTTGATGACATTTGATGCTGCCGGAGAAATTCCGGCTCCCCTAAATCAGCGGGCTGTTTCCGGTTGGCTTTATTTTGGTTTGCGGAACATCGCTGAGACACTGCCTTGATATTTGGCACAGAAGGCTGCAGCTAGAATGCGGCAGCACTTCCGTCTTGAGTAGTCCGGAGGGGAGGGATTTCTTTTGTCAATGTGGTTTAAATCCGCTGTCACTTTCATACAAGAAAGCCAGGGCTGGCGCTCCCTGAAGTGTCTGAGGTCCCCGTGCTGGGGGCGGGGAAAGGTGTCGGCCTGTGGGGGTCAATTTCCTCCAGCCAAGGCTGCTTGGCTCAGCCAGCGAGTCCGGAGAAGTGTGAGAAGCCCCGGGCTTCCTCACCCCTGGGGCAGGAGGGCTGGAGGTGGGTGCCCCTGTGGGGCGGTGCCAGGGCAGCAGGCAGAAGTGGCCAGGGCTTTGTGGCTCAGGGCTGGGGGGCCCTGGCCACTGTTTACTCTAGGAAGGGTTCTGGTGCTTCAGTCCACGCGAGGAAGGCATGGGAACTCAAACAGGAGGGTGAGGGAAGACCAGAGTCTCAGACCAGATACTTAGACCCTGAGTGTTCCAGAGGGCAGCGCCATCAGCGTGCGGGCAGGTGGAGGTCACCTGGTGGATCCCTCGGAGAGGAGGAGTTCTGGAGGCTCTGAGCTCCACTTAAACAAGCCTGTGAAACCCTGGCTCAGCTGAGGCTTAGGCTGCTAATACCATGTGGGGCCTGGATATTAATTGAACCTGTGACCCTCTCGGGGGCATCAGCAGTGAGGACGGGTAGAGAGGCCGGAGTGCCAGCTGCCCGACTCCCTGGATGTCTTTCCAGCGAGGAAAATCTCCATTTCCTCTCCCCTCCAGAGGCCACCTGCAGGGCCGGCTGCCTGGGGGCTATCTGTGCCCCAAGTAGATAGCCGGCGTGCTGGGAGGCAGGACGCCTCCTGAGATGCAGTCTGGCTGGAGACCCCAAGGGTGACCTGTGGGTGCTCTGGTTTGGGGTTAGTCTCATGTAACTGTGCTGCCGGCCTGACACCCTGGGGCTCAGGGTGACCCTGAGTGGCGCAGGTGCTGGGGTCCACTCAGCTCCTCAGTTTCTTTCTTTAATCCGAATTCATGGCCAACCTTGGCTCTGACTTGCCCTGCCTGAGTCCCTGGCCTTGAAGGTGCAGAGAAGTCGGTGCCCCTGTGGTTGATCTCAGGGCCCCTCATGGTCATTCACCTCCGAGCCTCATCCCCAGGCATGCTGGATTTTCGCCAGGGACTCTGTGTGACCCAGGGCCAGTGTCTTCCCCTTCATAACCTCATTTTCCATTTGCAGAAGGCAGGCAATGATTGTCTGCTGTATCCGGTGAGAACTTACAAGGCAGTGCCATCTGGGCTTAAGTTAGCACCCTGCTCTCAAGTTATACGAGAAGCAATTCTAGTAGTACTGTTACCAAGAAGCGAAGGCAGAATGTCTTTGCAGGGATTGGGAGCTTTTTCAAAGGTATAGGGGCATTGGCCTTTTAAATTCCCAAATAGCTTTGAAGCATGTGGTGGTCTGTGGTCTGGTTCAGACGCTGAAATTGGGAAAATCCCTCTCCGCTTCCTCTTTCTTTGTCCCTCCACCTTTTGCAAGTGAGGTAAGAAGAGGGAGCACCACGCAGAAGTGAGGTGTTTTCATGGGAACACTTTGGAGTCTGTCTGGAAGAATCTTTCTGCACTTCAGTTTTGTAGAATCATTGTGGATCTGTCGTTCTGTGCACTCACACACCTTAAACACTGTGTGTCTGGTAGCAGTCATTAGCTTTGACAGCAGAGTCTGTGTATCATGCATGGCTGAGCCACACTTCCTATGCCATCGGCTCTGAGGAAGCCAGTGCTTCTGACTTTCTGTGAGTCAGGGACCCACAGGGAGGGCACTTCCACCATGACCCCGGGTTGTTTTGGGGCCCCGCCCCCGAGGTGCACGGTGCTTCCTCCCCTCCCAGCAATGCTTTCCGTTTCCACAGTACTTACTGCTTGTTTTTAAACGTGGCACCTCATCGTGATGCACGTGCTCAATAAAGAGCAACACACAAGGAGTTTCTCTCAATCTCTTAGAAAAAAGCTGCCCTGCGACCCAGTACGGGAAAGGCCCTTGCACTGCTGCGACCCTGCTGTGGAGCTGGAGGCAGCCCTGTCCCTGGAATGCTGCCCCTGGGGGGCCTGGCCTGCCACGTGCTCCACTGTGGGGCTTCCTGTGGCTCTCTGGTCACTCACTTCTTTCTCCTTTGGACTCACCACCCCTGGCTCCACAGGGCTCTCAGTCCCTTCCTGTGACGCTGGAGCGTGCCCATGAAGAAGGCCCACGGCCAGTCTGGCCCAACACTGAAGCGTCAGAACCACTGGTGCCTGCAGGCCCACAGGGGACTGTGGGCTGGGGTGGGGGGCGCTGGCCTCCAGCCCAGCCATTCCTCTCCTAATCACAAACAGAATCCCACCAAGGCAGGAAGAGGTGGCACCGGGTGAGAACAGGGAGAATGACAAGTGGGGCGCCTAGAGGGACCCCTGGGCTGTGGCTCCCTGGCCCCAACTCGTGGGCTAGAAGATCAGAGGTCAGGGCTCCGGGCCAGCTCTGCTGGAAGTGGCAGCTGATGACTCCCCCACGGGAGCTGGAGGCCTCTGGTCACGGGCTGTTGCAGGCATCGAATTAGGGGGTGGTCTGCTTAGTAAGGAAAAGTACTGACAGTGTCTCCACAGGGCCGAGTCTCACTCGGGTGAGAGAAGCCCTTTGTGACTTTGTGACGTGGGGAGGGCTGTGGCTTTTCCCGTGTCTACTTGACAATGGAAGGGGCTCAGCATCCGAGATCTTAGGTTCCCCTAATGCTAAAATTAACTTGGGTATTTTATTAACCGAGCTCAGCTAAGCCGCCTGTGCTATTTTTAACCCCTGAGGACGAAGGCACAGGGCTCCCTGCACCTTGAAAACAGCAGGGGTCCAGCCTGGACCCCGGCTTTGCCTGGGAGGGGAGTGGGCCTCCGTGCGGGGGTGGGTGTGCAGGTGGGGTGCTAATGCGGAAGGGTGGTTTCCGTGTATCAGCTCATTTTATCTCAATTCTTGAAACGCCACGACTCGGAGGTGGAGAAACGGACACCCATGGACCTAGCTGGGCCCGAGCGGCCCGGCCCGGCGCTCTGGGATCTGAGTTCTTCTTCTCCTCGCCACTTAGTACTGCCCATTAATTTTCTTTTCTTGGAGACTGGACTTTGCTATGTTGCCCAGGCTGGTCTCCAACTCCAGGCTCAAGGGATCCTCCTGCTTCAGCTTCCTGAGTGGCTGGGACACAGGTGCTCAGCACCGCAGCCTGTCTGTCAGTCTAGAGAGCTGTTTCTTCTCTGGGATCTTGACCTTGAATGGAGGGCTGGAGAACAGCGAGACTCGGTGACTTTAGGGACCTGAGGCAGTCAGTGTTCAGGCGTGGAAGGAAGGGACTGCCGTCTGTGGGGGCGGACAGAGGCCTGGGAGGCCCGAGACACAGTTTGGCCATGCAGAGACAATCCTTTGAGCAGTGCCACAGCCACCCATCCAGCGCCTAGGCCTGTTAGCGAAACGTGCCTGGCGGGTGGGTGAGCCGGGGTGCTGCACTGATGGGCAGAGCCTGGGCCTGGAGGCAGCCCTGGGGCGTCCTCCCTGGAGGGGAGGCTGGCGTTGGTGGGAAACACTGATTTGCCTCTTTGAAGCTAATGGAAGCGAATGAGGCTTTTGGAGCTCATGAGCACAGAGCGGATCGACAGCGTCTGCCTGCGCTGCCGCCCTGCACTTTCTGGTGGCGCGTTGTGCTTTAGACACAGACGTGTATGTGCTTGGAAAGGAGATGGCCTTTGGCTGCAGCAGCCGAAAGCGAGGTGGCCGGTGCTGCGGCCTCAAAGGCGAAGGCAGCCGAGTGATGGAGCGAGGCGTGCGGGCTCTGCGGCCTCGGTGGGGAGAGCTCCTGGGGCCGTCAGAGGAGAGGCGGACGTCCAGACCCACTTGGAATCAGACACCCGACGCTGCGTGCTGCCCACGCTTCTTGAGAATTCCCTCACCTCTCTCTGCCTTGGTTTCTTTGGGAAAATGGAGGCCAGTACCTTTTTTGGAGCAGTTAATGAGACTAGATGAGCAAAGGTCTTCGTAGACAGGAGGCATTTATGATTCTAGTAGAATTTGAAGCATCCGTTAGTCTGTAATGAATCGGACTTCTATGTAAGCACATATGTAAATCGAAAAAGAGCTACACTTTAATAGGAGAGTGCTGAGAGGCGGGAGGGCTCACTCTGGAGAGGTGGCTTTGGTTTTTGGTTTTGGCTGTCTGGGAGGGGTAGCTTTGAACTTGCCCCCGGGGGGAGAGTGAGGCCTCAGAAAGGGAGGGCATCATTTTGAGTTGGGCTGGTGTCATGAGGTGCACGGCCTGGCCTTTGAGGGGCTCAGATAATTTGGCTGGAGGGGCCAGTGGGATGTGTGGATGGGCCTCTGGCCTCTGGGTGGACAGAGTGGGGCACACTGGGTCCCGTGGGGATGTGGTGTCACGCCTGGCAGGTGCTGGCACCTCTGGAGGGTGTGAGGCTGGACAGCGGCTGTAGACTGTGGTGGTGGGGGGGCGGTGGGCAGCTCACTGAGCACCTCTAGTCCTGCGCAGACGCAGGTCAGAGCAGGGGTCTGTGCTGTGCAGGGAAGGAGGAGCTGGCAGTGTAACCGGAGCTTCTAGCTTTCATCTGCAGGTCAAGGTGATGAACAGACATGTTTACTGCAGCAGCATCTGTGGCCAGTGGCTGAGCCAGCAAGTAGCAAACAGGAGAAGGAGAGTTGGGATCGTCTGGGCGGCCCTACCAATCTCCTGTCCAATTGTCATCCCGCTGGTGGAAGGGGGTCCTGGTGGGAAGTCACTGGATCGGGGGTGGGTTGTGAACGGCTCAGTGCCGTCCTCCTGGTGCTGTTCTTGCGATGTGAGTTCTTGCGAGATCCGGTGGTTTAAACGATCGCGCCCTTTCTCCCGCGCCGTGGGAGACGTCTGCTCCCCGTTCACCTTCCGCCTTGACTGGAAGCTTCTCGAGGCCTCCCCAGAAGAGGTGCCTCCCTGCTTCCTGTACAGCCTGCACAGCCATGACCAATAAACCTCGATTTTTTATAAATCACCCGCTCTCGAGTGTTCCTTTATAGCAAAGCAAGAACAGCCTGATGGGTGATGGCAGCTGAAAGGGCAGTGATGCCACAGGCATCCACACGTGGGCTGCTCCGGCCTTCAAGGAACCTACTAAGCCCAGGCCAAACCCGTGGACTTGCAGGCAGCTCCGCAGGATAGGATGAGAAAGAGACGAAATGAGAGCCCTTGTCTAACACCACCACCAAAAGAATGATGAATACAGGCCCGCTGAGCGCACGCAGATCAAAGGTGAGACCCACAGGCCTGCTAACTGGATGACCTGTGGGATTGCGGGAGCCCTCAGGTGGGAAGAGAGCGAGGCAGGACACACGAGGTCTTTCATCGCATCATGTACATGTCTGTACGCATCAGTGTGCAGCCGTGTACACGGGTGGGTACAGGAGTAAGGAGCAAAGGCGGAGCTTAGAAATCTCCGCGTCACATGTTGCCAGAACCACGTTGGCTGCGGAGGACGCCAGGGCGGAGAATAACTCGCCTGCGTTCAGGAAAGTGTGCTCTGCGTGGAAATGCGTGTTACACGTGGGGCTGTGGCTCCATCAGGCCGCAGCGGGTGTCTGGCAGGGACAGTGAGTGAAGCTGTGGCTGGCCCCTGAGAGGCTGGCCCAGGCAGAATGACGGGGTTTTGGGGCTCCAGCCTTTGTGTCTGAGAGGCTCTGGCACAGGGGAAGGGGAACTTAGGGTTACGTCACCTGTGACAGAAGGCTCGGGGTTTCTCTGGTTGTGAGGCGGAGTCCAAAGTGAACAGTTACAAACATTCAGGCTTTGCTGTAGATGTCCAGGAAGCCCACTCCTCAGCCTGGAGCCCTGGAAGACAGTTTCCCCAAGGGTTATTGGTCAAATGGCATCAGAGTGTCTGGGAGACTTTGTTTCTTTGCGTGTGTTTTATTAAAAATAGTGGTTCTATTAGTGTCTGAAAATATGAGGTGTGTTTCTGTGTGCAGGGCTGGAATCCCCAGGCTGCAGCTCTCACCGCCCTGAAGTTTGGCATTATTAGTGTTCGTTTCGGACAAGCTTGAATCCCACACTTGGATCAATCACCCGATTCTAAGGCTCAGTTTGTTCCTTCCAGGGACAGTCGTGTCCTGGTGGCATCAGAACATAGCTAGGAGCGGTGGCAGCTCCAACCTGCGTGTCACAGGTCCCGAGAGACACTGTGGGTGCTGGGCCAGGAGACCAAAGCCACGCTGGGGACAAAAACAGAGCCGTGACCCAGAATTGACTGAGGAATGACGCTGACACCAGTTCTTTCCACTGCACGTGGTTTCTTTTATGTTATCCAAGTAGTTTCCAACCTATAAAGAATTGCCTCTCTTGGCCCTGACTCGCCATAGAAAATTCCAGAGGTTAGTCAGGGGTCTAGACGCTGTGAGGATCCTTTTCGCTGGGGACCTGCATGCAGGCCCGTCCCGTGGGTGCCCCCTTTGCCCCAGGTGGGCCCAAGTCCTCAGCCCCGTGCTGAGAGCCGCCTCCCTGTCTGGTGCTCATGGCGTGCCCGGGTGGGATGGGGGCTCTCTGAGATGTCTGACAAAACTGGGGTGATTGTTATTGTGTCTGTTTCTGGACTTCAGCCCGGGTCTGAACTGGGTGTGACCGGCCCAGCCTGTGGTGCGTGTGGGGTTGGAGCCAGTTTCCATTTCTGCCTGAGGCCCCGCTACCGGCCTTTTGCCTGCGTTGAGGGGCTGCAGAGAGCAACCCCCACACAGGCCAGCCCCTCACGTCGCTGAGGGCCCTTGCAGGCACCCCTAGTCTTCTCTTTAGCTGTGTTTGTTTTGTTCCTTCTGAAGGAAAAGGTTCCACTCTACTTTTCAGGCCTAGAGTTTTCGTATTTGGTTCTAAGCCCACTCCTCGAGGTGCTGGGGCAGCTGCTTCCTTTGGTCTCGTCACCCCCTCCGTGTTTTCTCTTCCCCAGAGCAGCCGTTGCTCTGGGAGCCCAGGGGCCCTCCTCGGCTCACGGCTCCCACCGGGGTGGCCACCTCAGCGTCCGGTGGTGACTGCGCAGGACACCTGCTTCCTACGCCCTCCTCTGAGGCTCCAGGAGCAAAGTGCTCTTCCCAGAGCCATGCCTGAGCAGGAGCGTCTCCACGCTGGGTATGCACCTGAGCTGCATGCAGGACGTAGAGACCCGGGAAGGTGGTCCCGCGGCGAACACTGAGGAGACCCGGGAGGGCGGTCCCGTGGCGGACTCTGAGGAGACCCGGGAGGGTGGTCCCTAGGGTGGTCCTGCAGCGAACACTGACAAGACCCGGGAAGGTGGTCCTGTGGTGAACTCTCAGGAGACTCGGAGGGCGGTCCCGCAGCGAACACTGAGGAGACCCGGGAGGGTGGTCCCGAGGGTGGTCCCACAGCGAACACTGACAAGACCTGGGAGGGTGGTCCTGTGGTGAACTCTCAGGAGACCCGGGAAGGTGGTCCCGCGGCGAACACTGAGGAGACCCGGGAGGGCGGTCTGTGGCGAGCTCTGACGAGACCTGGGAGGGCGGTCCCGTGGTGAACTCTCAGGAGACTCGGAGGGTGGTCCCGTGGCG